GTGCTCTTTGTATATCTAGGAGATGGAGCTAGTGGATTGTGTTGTTTAGCTCTTCTGTTTCTTTATTGAGTTTCTTCCCTGATAACCTGTCTTTCCTTGAGATGGGTGTATCGAAATCTCCTACAATTATTGCCACAATTACTTCGGTTTTCAACTCTGTGAGAATTTGCTTAATGCATTTTGAGGGTCTTTCCTTGAATACATATGTTTACTAAGGTTATCTATTTTTGGTGTATTGGTCCTTTAATAATAATGTAGTGTCCATTGTTGTCTAATATTATGTTATTTGCATTGAAATCTATTTTATCAGAGATTAATATTGCCACTGGCTCGTTTTTTATGGTTGCCACTGGCTTAGTAGATATTTTTGACATTGTTTGCCTTTGAGTTTTGGTGTGTCTCTTTTAGGTAGCATATTGATGAGTCTCTGTTTTCTGATTGGTACATTTACACTATTGACAGATTCAATGTCATGATTGATATATGGGGGTTGTTGCTGTCATTTTACTGTTTGTGTTTGCTTTCTCTCTCTCTCTCTCTCACACACACACACACACACACACACACACCTTTTGCAGTTTTATTGGTGCCCTGGTGCCTCCTGTATTTCTGGGTTGAGTGCTGCTTTCATCATATTGGTTTCTCGGTAGTGTTTTCCTGTGTGATGCTCTCAAGTTTGTCTGCAATTGATTGTTCATAGTGATCTGGTTCACATTTTTTGTAATCCTGGTCTTGTTTTTAATTCCTTGTCTGGAAATAACGTATATACTTATGTATAAGCCGAGTTTTCAGCATATTTTAAATGCAGTTTTTGTGGTAAAATTAGGTGCCTCAGCTGATAGTCGGGTTGGCTTATACTCAAGTATATGCGGTATCTTTATTTCTCTTGTATTTGAGGAATAATTTTGCTTGATATAGGATTCTTGGTTGGAGAAAATCGTTGTCTTTCAAAATTTGGTATAGGTCACTCCATTGTCCTCTTCTTGCCTCCATAGTTTCTGCTGAAATGTCTGACCTTAATCTTATCAGTTGTGCTTTGTACGTGACTGTTCTTTATTCCTTTATCTTTCTTCAGGATTCTCTCCTTTTCCTTGAATTGGAAAATTTGATTATGTTATGCTGCTGTGTTTTTCTTTTTGGATTTATCTTATCTGGGGTTCTTTCAGCTTCTTGAATAGTTATTTTCTCCTTCTTTGAAATGTTGGGGAAATTTTATTCCATAAGATTTTGTACTATTTTCTCTGTTTATATTTTTTGTTTCTTCTTGTTCTGGGATCCAGATAAGACATAGGTTGTTTCTCTTGATATTTTCCCACATCATTCTCAGGCTTTCTACTAATTCCTTTGCTTTTTTGTTGTCTGTTCCTCTCATTGATTGTAGTTGGAGTGATTATCTTTGAACTCACTGATTCAATTTTTCTTTTCTTAGTTCTATTCCTCAGGTGTTTTATTATGTTGCCTAATTCTGTTATCTCAATTTTTATCTTCTGGAATTTCTTTGTGTTTAAGGATTTTAGTTTTTTCAATTTATTCTGTTGTCCTCATTAGTATTTCCTACATATCTTGAAAAGAACCAAACATCCTTCTTCTGAATTCTGTCTCTGGTAGTTTTAGGGCCTCTAGTAAGTGCTACTAACTCCAAGTCTTTGCACATTTCAGTGTAATACTTTGCTTTGCTTCTTGATCTGTCCTTTAAATTTTCCTGTTGATCCCTTTCACTTCATCATTCCTTCCATTTTCTCTAGCTGCTTGATGACAAAGAACAAGCTTCAGGTTATCTTCTGGCATCCACTTTGATCTTTTTTCCCCCCTCTCCTGTCTTTTTAATGAACGTTTCCTTCTTCGTGAAGGAAGTTAGAAAAACATATCTTAAACTGAAAGAACTGAAGTAAAAATTCAAGTCACGAGTCACAATATTGAAAGATTCTATGGGTAAAATATTGAATAATGCATCAAAAGAAGATGGAAGGAATACACAGATTCACGGTACTAAAAATAACTGGTGGACAGCCAGCCAGTTCAAGAGGTAGCCCTGAAGGCATCAGCCAAAAACCAGGCTTCAGGAATTGACAGAATATCCATTAAAATGTTTTAACAATCGATGCTTATGGAAGCAACCATTAAGAAATCAAACAACACATTGTGTTGGGTAAATTTGCTTCCCAAGACCTCTTTAAAGTATTGAAGAGTAAGTATATCACTTTGAAGACTAAGGTGTATCCGACCCAAACCATGGTATCTTCAATGACTTCACAGGTGTATGAAAATTGGAATAAGAAAATACGAAATAAGAAAATAGAATAAGAAAAACCGAAGAAAAATGGATGCATTTGAATTATGGTGAAAAGTGTTGCAAGTACCACAGACTGCCAAAAGAATAAACCATTCTGTCTTGGAGAAATTACAGTCAGAATGTTCCATGGAAGCAAGGATGGCAAGACTTCATCCACGTACTTCAGATATGTTCTCAGGAGAGACCAGCCCTGGAGAAGGACATTGTGCTTGGAAAAGTAGACGTGTACTGGAAAAGGAGCAGACCCTCAAGGAGATGGATTGACACAGTGGCTACAGCAATGGGCTCAAAAATAGCAACAGTTGGGAGAATAGCACACAACCAGGCAGGGTTTTGCTCTCCTGCACATTGGGTCACTATGAGTTGGTACTGACTCATTGGGCCCCAACAACAACAGTGATTTAAGCAAGCAAGGTGATGTAATCTGCATATTTCAGGTTCTTCATGAGTTTTCCTCTGACCCTGATGCCACATTCTACTTTAGATAGTCCAGCTTCTTGGATTATTTCCTCACCGAGCAGATTGAGTAAGTATGGTGAAAGCATACGGTACGGACGCACACATTTCCTAATTTTAAACCATGCAATATTCCCTTGTTTGGTTTAAACAACTGTCTATATACAATTTCTGCATGAGCACTATTAAGTGCTAGCCAATTCTGATTCTTTATAATGTTATCCATAGTTTTTTTACAATCCACACAGTTGAATATCTTTGCATAGTCACTAAAACCTTGGTAAACATTTTTCTAGTATTCTCTGCTTTTACCAAAGATTAATATGAGGTCAGCAGTGATATCCTTCATTTCATTGTTGATAAAGGTATTTGCAATGATAAGTCTTATAAAGTTCTCTCATACAATCTTCAGCATCAACTGTATTACAAAGGTGGAATTTTCCAACTACCACTCCCTCCTTTTTGTTTCCAGTGGAGGGTGGAGGGAGAGGGAGAGGGAAAGGGAGAGGGAGAGGGAGACCGGGTTGGAAAGAGGGAA